TATAATTTGATAAGCATATCAAATTAGAAATTCTAAATTAAATGTTGGATTGTAATGTTATTGTCTCGAGATATTACTGGTTTTGACAAAATATAAGTCTCTGTTTTAAAGCTACATTTTAAATTAGAGGAATTAAGAGAAATTGCTATCTTTTTGAGACAGGGTCTCCATGAAGCCACAGTTGGCTTGGAACTTGCTATGTAGACCAGGCTGGCCTGGCTCTCACAAAGATCCACCTGCCTCTGCCTCCCAAGTGCTGGGATTAAGGCATGCACCACCATGCCTAGCTAGATTGCTTAAATCTTTTGACACTATAGACAGGTAATACTATTCCTAAAGCTGTATCTTGGCAGATCAAAATTTTAAAGATTATAACGTGTATGGCTCAATGCCTCTGTATAACTATGTATAAAAATATTTTCAAGATTTTCAGTTCGATATGTACATACATACATATAGATTTTAGTTGCTCATACTTATTACATAAACAGTTATAATTGTACAAATTGTGCATAAATGTATTCTACTTTTAAGTACCCTTTTATTCTCAGCTATTTGTATGGGAGAAGCTACGTTTTGATTAGTAAAATGTGGTGCAATTTTAAATTTCATATGCACGATAAGTCTCCTTCTTGCACTCTACTATCCTGCCTTTTATGGCTTATGTGAAATGAGTAATTTTAAAAAATTGAGTGTATACGTATACGTTATCTCTCATAATTCAGAAAAGTTTGAGATGTTCTTTCCAAAAGTTGAAAAAAATATGTACATATAAAACTAAAAATTAACTTACTATTGAACAGGTAAAAAAGTTTCATATCTAGAAAATACACACACAACTATTAGTAAAGTATGTGGTTTTAGAAATTTGGGTTTCATCATGAAAGATTTCACAAAATTCACCTGTGGATAGGCAATTTGTACACTATCAAAGATGAGAAATACCCAGGTATATACAAGCAACGAAACAGGTTGTCACAGGAGCAGAAACCAATGGAGCTAATATTTTGTTGGCATTTGTTTGACATTGTCTAGGAAAGCTAACCAAGGGACAAGTAAAAAACCTATGAGCAAGTCTCTTGAAGTTCTGAACTGCCATTGTTTATTATCCAGAACCAAAGTTAAGTCTCAGAGAAGAATATTGCTAATTTGGATGCATTCTTTTTCACATTTTTGAGGCACTTATTTTTTTTTTAGAGTGGTAGGTTTTATTAAAAGGTTACCTTTTTAATCTGTTTCAAAATCTTAGAAGCAGAGATTGAGACCAGCCTGGTCTGAATAGAAAGTTCCAGGCCACCTGAAGCTATAGGGAGACCGTGTCTCAAAAGACCAGGAATAGAAATCACAAGCAATTTTGAAAGCTCAGTGAATATTAATGATGTGATGGGTCAAAAGGGGTTGGATTATGCTCTTTTGAAGAAAACACCACTTTCATAATCGTCACTTTTCTCATATGTTTGTTACTTATGTTTATTTATTAAAATGATTAGAATATACCAAAAATTACGTTCATTGAGTATAATATTCTATGAAGCCAAGCGTGGTGGCACATACCTGTAATCCCAGCACTCAGGAGGTAGAGGCAGGCATATCTCTGAGGGATAGAGACAGAACTTGGTCTACATAGCAAGTTCCATGCTAGCTGGGGCTATGGGACCCTCTGTCTTAAAAAGAAAAATAAAATAAAAAAGATTCCACTAAAAATCAGGATACCGAGCAGGGTATGTTTGCACACGCCTTTAGTCCCAGAGCTCCAGAGACAGAGGCAGGTGGATCTCTGTGAGATGGAGGACAGATTAGTCTACAAAGCAAGTTAGAAGCCAGCTGGAGCTACAGAAAGCCTCTAACTCAAAGGATGAAAAAAATATTAGAGTTATCATTACCTCACAGAATAAAATAACCATTATTTTCTTCTTGCTTAGAATAGCACAGAAAATAATGTTCAACATATTTTAGTTCCCAAATTTATCAAACTGTTGTCCATATAAGCAAGATACAAATATAAAAGCAACATTTTACACAATGTACTATCACTATCAACATTAAGCAATATTTTATTTATCAAACCACTGATTTTGATATTTATAATTAGTATCACAACTTGTAATAGCTATCTAGGAAGACAGACATGAAGTATAGTCTCAGTCATTTAATTTTTCAGCCAAATTTCTCCAAAATAAAATGTGCATTAAAGTACTCATAGGCAATAAATCATCTACAGTCCATACCTTATACCAAAGTATTTCAGGCTCCCTGGTTGGTAGTAAAAAGTCCTCTATGTCACGACATGAAATTTCCTTGCTTTTGCTAAGTTCAGCTTTTTCAAAATACTTCATCTTGGAATTGTAGCAGAGTCCAGTGTCATTTTCTCCTACAGTCAGTGAGATGGATACTTTCATACAGTATGTGGAGTTCCTGTAAGAAACCAAAAGTCATATGTTACCTACTGTGAATAAAAGTAATTAATGTTACGGCAGATTAACTCCTTCAGAAAAAAAGGAAGAAAAACTCCATTTTTAAATTAACTTGTAGTATCTTACCTGACTCCAAGGGATTTGCAGCTGTCAACCAAATAAAACAACACTTGGTTTTTTATAAATCCAAGAGTGTGTGTGTGTGTGTGTGTGTGTGTGTGTGTGTGTGTGTGTTTTCTCAGGAAACTATGTTCAGGTAAATTGAAAAAAGTATTCAATAGATATTCAATAGATATATATTATGAAGAAAAATGAAAAGGATAAAGGAAGATTTATGTAAGGAATAAAGTCAAACATTTAAATAGAGAAGCTAAAAAAGGAAACAGAAGGTACAACAGACCTATTTAGTGGAGGGACAATAGTAATGATGTTTGCTCCTGCTATTGCTTGTAGGCTTGGTAAGTGGAGAAATGATTGATGAGTAAGGTATGATTTAATCTTGGGTAAAAGAGCTGAAAAAAAACGTACTATATTTACCTACATGTATTTTTCTGATTTCAGACATGGATTACACTGTTACATAAGTTCAATCTTTTCTTAATAGAGTCTACAGAATTGATGCATTAAATCATCATTTCAAGTTTTCACTTGAAATGCACCCTAAATCAAAGTGAGAACTTAAAATAATTAGGAATAGAAATCATGTTTAAAGACAATATTTGCCTTTAAGAATTGGAAGAAATTAACTTTTATCTAAATTATTATATTTCTGCTTGGCATTTATGTATCAGGATATTCAGTACAGCATGTGGTGCTAGAGAGTGTAAATAAGATAATAAAGCATTGAAATTAAAGCTTGATCGGTAACTTTTCCTTTGTTAAGGTCTAAGAGATCATTCACATAATTGACAACTGTAATCATGTGTTTGAGTCCCATTGCTGACTATCTCTATAACACTGGAAAATTAGAATTATGATTATGAAATTAGAACAAATATAGATCTTAGTAATTCACTGTTAAATTGAATAATAAAAATTTTTATATAAATAAGTTTTTTTGGACTTTTTGAGAGAAGGTCACCGTGTAGCCCCAGCTGACCTGGAACCCCCCGTATGGACCAGGCTGGCATCAATATCTCAGAGATTTTCTTGCCTCTGCCTCCTGAGTGCTGAGACTAAGTGTGTGCACCACCATGCCCAGCTTTAATAATTTAGAAGGTTTTTATTGACTATAGACATCTCCATCTACCTATACTATCTACCTTAAAAGGTGTTATAAAATATTAGCATGTAAAACCATTGACCATTTTAAACTGTTTGTACAAAGCCCTAAAATGTCCTAAGAGTATTTGTTCGTGAGTTTTGCTATATTAATGTACTTCATTTTCTGTCCTCGGACTCTAAGAAATCAGGAAGATAGTTGTCCAAGCAAATAACTGAAATTCAGCATGTTGTATAATAGAAAATTGTATGAACTACCAATGTGATGTCAAAGGTGGAAGAATTCCTAAATGCTGAAATTTGAATTGTCTCAAGGAATGAATGATAATTTGGCAATGTTCAGAATGCATGTACACGTAGGGAGGAATGAAATCTTACTATGTTAGGAAGGACTCGAGATTGGAAAGATATCCAAACTCAAAGTCATATAAGCTATTTCCAAGAGTTAGAATTTACATTGAGTGATAATGAAATTTGGATCTTAGAAAAGTTTGTTTCTTGTAATGGATAAAACAGATTGCATTGAAAGGAAGAGTACATGAAGTTTGACAAAATAGAAAGGAATTGCATTTATTTCTGAAAATAATAACCTAAAAAAGTCAGTTTACTTTGGGATAGGAAGGGTTGGGTTTATTATGTATTTAAGACATTAGATTAGTACGGCAGACAGTATGGAAGTAAACAGAGGCATGCACAATGCAGAATCTTTTAAAACTGAGTTATGTGAAAAGTAGAGCACATCTTTCAGCATGAATAAAAACAAAAAGAAAGAAGTCAGAGAAAATTGGTGTGAGTTTTTAGCCTAAGCTTCACACTAAGATGAATAAGATATCCCCTTTTGAGCTTGCCAAAAATAAAGCTTGTGTCTTATTTGTTAATTTTGCTCCAATAAATACTCGATAAATATTTCTTCAAGCTTATTGTAAGGTGTTTATATCAGAAAAATAATTTTCTAAGTTAAGCAATTAACTATATTAGCACATGTTGAAATGCATCTTAAGAAATATTAGGGTTTCATTTTAATACTTCTTTACAGAACATATTCTAACAAAAACTTTTCTAAAAAGTGAATTGGTGTATTCTAAATTTCAAACTTGTATATAATTTGGTATATATAAAAATTGTTTCTTCTGTCTTCAAATTTCTACTTACTTTTGTTTACCAATTTTACAAATCCTCTTTTATCAAACATCAGACAAGTTTTATAGTTTTTTAAAGAGCAAGAAGTCTATAACCCAATAAGAAAGGCTCAGATTCCAATTCAACTAACTCATCATTTGGGCAAATGGGTGCCTATTACTTTGTTCCTTTCCTCTTCCTTTTTCTTGTTTGTATAAGAAGAAAATAATATTAAATATTTAAAACCCCATGGGCTGTTGTGGGAGTCAAACATGTTAAATCATGCAAAGAGCTTAGAACAGTGCCTGTCCTACAGTGATCTCTCAGCAAATGTTTGATCTTATTATCACCACTGTGTCCTCTATTCTCATTCCTATTTTCGACTTTGCAGAACAGCCCCACAGAGTTTTTCCCAAGTAGAATAGACGATATCACCACGTGATGCCTTCAGTTTGTGTGTATGTGTGTGTGTGTGTGTGTGTGTGTGTGAGTTTGTGTGTGTGAAGCATAAGATAACAGACAAGTCCTTATATTTTGCTTTGTTTTCTTTTCTTTTGGGTTAACTGTATAGGCTAAACAAGAATGACTGACGTTGTAAGAAAATATGGGCTCCCTATTTGGGAATTACTTTTGTTTTCCAAGAAAAAAAATGCCTCTCTTTTTCACGCTCAAATGACTCCAAACCTTCAGGAAGTGGCTCCAGATGAATGCCCTCAGGTGTTCTTATTTTCCTGACTTTCAGTCCTTAGATCTGTGATGTGACTGATGATTTACGATGATCTTCTAATGCCTGGAATTTGAGACTCCCCAGGATAGCAATATTTTCAAGTTATGTTCACTGTTTAATGCTTGATTGCTGTTTCTGTTCATGAGGAGGAGATTTAAAAAGCTAAAAATAGAGTATCATGTAACCAATGGTATATTCTTATTTGCTGAGAGGAACTAACAGGAAGTAAGCAACTTGTAACACATTAATAAATTCACAATCCCCTGGAGGGGAATTCACACACTTTTAAAGCAACAGCTATATTCTACTATCATAAAACTTGTGCCATGGTACTCTGCTGTCAAGGAAACAATATAGAATGTGGTAAATGGGATAAGGAGAATGATCCTATAGATCTTATGTAAAGTCTTTATCATGTATTTACTTGGCTTTTATTGTTTATAGCAGAAGGGAGGCAATTTAGGTAAAAACTAGAATCATGACTAATAATTTTCATAAAATGAGAATACAAAATATTCAAATATTCAGCGAAAACAAAATTGTTTATATTTGAGTGTAAGCACCCAGTTATCTTTGCTATTGAAGAAAATATTAGTATGAAATGTTAGAAAACATTCTCCTTTTCTCTGAAACTGATGAGGCCATGTACAAAAATTCTTTGTGTGAACTACTGAGCCACTTACGTCTTTCAATGTCCTCACTTCAGAGCAGAGGTCCTCCACGCCTAAACAATTTATTGCCTTGTTCAATTTGTATTCTAAATCTAGTGGTAAAATAGGATTAAATGTACAGACTTCTGTATTTTTAAGTTTTTGTTTATTATTTTATGTCCATGCATGTTTTGTCTGCATGTATGTAGGTACTCATGTTGTGCGATGCCCCTGAAGGACAGAAAAGTGTGCGAGATCCCCTAGAACTGGACTTATGGGCTGTTTCTTTGCCCATGTGGGTACTGGTAACCAAATTCAGGTCCTCTGCAAGCACAGCCAGTGTTCTTAATCACTGAGCCATCTCTTTACCCTCAGTCCTTACATCTTTTAACTCACTATTCATTGCCCACTTCTATATGCTTCTGGAAAGAATAATAGGATAGCACACATAACAACTTTATGTATTATATATAAACTATCATTTTATTATCTATATTTTATATGTAGAAATGCAACACAGACACACACATACACATACACACACACACACATATATATAATTGTTTAAAGTAAAGCATTCCACCCTCCAAACCTTAGTTTTTATTATTATTTTATACTTCAAAAGGCATTTATTGTGGAGAAAAACAAAGTGTGATATATCTTGGATTTGTCTTTTGATAATTTATGCTCTTAAAGTCCATAAAATCTAATAAGACTAGAGTGTATATGGCAGTTCTTACTGGAATATGACTCTCCATCTTATGCTAATACATAATAATAAAGATTTGTAAATACTGGCTTTTTAAAATGATGGATTTTGAATCATGTATTACAAAGAAGATTCTGAACTGAAGTTCTGTAAAAACATTCACAACCAACAATTTTTTTGCATAATTAAGCAACAAATATGAGTTAAATGTAAAATTGATAATAATTCCTTTAAACAAAGACACTGTAAATCAGTAGCATACACTGACATTCTCCAAATTTTTCTCAGCACTATGTAACTTTGAAAAAGAGGGGGATTTTGAATTGGGTGCCAGCAGAGCTTTTTAAAGAGTTCATTATGAAACGATGAGCAGATTGCAAAAGTGTGAATTCAGATGTAGAAATTTAGGTTGTAGAGGTAGGAGGTCAGAATTAAGATTAGAAGTAAGAGGGGAAATTTTGTATGTATCTGATTATCTGAAGAAATATATTAAAAACCACATTATGCAATATCTTAGTATAGCATAGCTACAATTATTCTATAATCACTCCCTCTATGCACAATAATGCATTGTT